CCATTCAGCACACACTTATTGTGGAGACTCAGAATTAATATTCTGAGATAAGTATGCACTGAAGCTAAAGGCAGGAAATGAAGACTGGACAGTGTTAAGAAAGAGCTGGGCTGCACTGGGCATGGTGGAATGGGAGAGGGATATCATGGGGGAATGTCACTACTTCAGACTTCCTTACCACTAAGTGCTGTCTTAGCCGATATGGAGAGGAGAGAGTGCCCAGCGTTCCCAGACTATGCATGAAAGGATATTCCAGCACAAGCACCACTAGAACCAAGGATGGTGAAGTTGTTAATAAGGAGACTAAAGGTAGTACATTCCATCATCAGAGGAAAAGCCAGTTGAGCAAACTCAGAACTTCTTGTGAAAGGGAGTCTCGTTTGCAAATGTCCTTTGATTGCACAGGAAGACTAACACTGCATTTTGATGTCTTTTTGGTTTGATGATGAAGACATAGGCATTTACAGGTACATTATAATCCAGTGGAGCTGATTTTAGCAATGTTGGTTCAAGCACTGGGGGCAGATGAAGCTCACATCGTGGTGGATGTTAAAAAGGCTTTATTGCAGGTTCCATGGGAGTACTGGAGGATGTCTGGCACCACAATAGAGGACAGAACTAATCAATCAACTACCCCAGCCATATGTTGACAGTGAAAACTGGGCAAAAAGAGGCTCTTGGATGGACTATATCAATCAGTGGATTCTACAGTGACTTCATTGTGCTTGGGATGGCAAAATTGGCAGGAATTCAGAACCGTTGAACTATCAAAACCACTTGAGCAAGACCCTCAGAGCACACCCCACATAGGGGACCTGGGATGGGTGGGAGCTGGGTGGGGCTTCTCCCTTTATCTCCCCATTACCCCAGATACAGAAAAAGAAGAGAATGTGGAAATAATAGTCTTACCCACTTTCCTGTAGCCCTTGAACCTTTGTGCCTTAATGAACCATGTAAAGGTTGTCCAAAAAAAAAAAGGCTTTACTGAAGTTAGTAGCCAGTCGGCGCTGGACACTGCTGTAGCCGTTGCCACCTGAAGGTGTAGCTCACGGGGCTTCTCTCCCAGAAGTGTGGCGTGCACTCAGCTGGAGGTGTGATTTCACAATTCTGGCGCACAGGTTGGGACAGGACTTTTGAGGTTACAGTTTAAAAAAGAAGTTGCCCTTTTGCCTGGTCACTGTCCCACAGTACCTCTTTTCTGGAGACTTCTGAGCAGCAGTAATGCCAAGCCCAATCTTAGAGGAATGCTTTTCTCTAATTCCAGTACGGCTTTTTATTTAGATGATGACGGACAATGTACTCAAATGTGGATTTTAAGACAACTCATAAATGAAAATATTAGCATAACTCACATCAACTGTGAAGATTGCTTTCCATTATTACTTAGTTTTACATCATTGATGTGTGAATATGGATGAATTGTGTTTGCAAAACAGTTGTGGAAAATGTGTCAGATGCATTGCTTGGACTTTAATAATCTGAGAGCAGAAAGGCACAGTGGGGGCCCGGCGGCATGGCCTAGCGGCTAAAGTCCTCGCCTTGAACGCGCCATGATCCCATATGGGTGGCGGTTCTAATCCTGGCAGCTCCACTTCCCACCAGTTTGAGGACGGCCCAAAGCTTTGGGACCCTGCATCCACGTGGGATACCCGGAGGAAGTTCCTGGATCCTGACTTCGGATTGGCAAAGCATCGGCCGTTGCGCTCACTTGGGGAGTAAATCATCGAACTGAAGATCTTCCTCTCTGTCTCTCCTACTCTCTGTATATCTGACTTTGTAATAAAAATAAATAAATCTTAAAAAAAAAAGAAAAGAAAGGCACAGTGGGTGTGCTTTGCTAAGCCCCCCAGGTGCTTCTCAGCCCTTATTGAATTCCTCGGTGCATGCGACTTTGTTCTGTGGCTTCAGAATCTCGCAGCCTGCTTCTCAGGTCCGTCCTGTCCTTCCTGTGACAGCCATCTCTGCCTGTGCCTCTTCCACACCGTCCTGGAGGCTTGTCCTCTGGTCACCATTCCTCTTGTTGGCCCCGGCCTCCCTCCACACACACAGTTAGGGGTTTGCTTTTAAGCCCCAAATCCTCATGGCAAACTGTTGGAGCTTCGTTGAACTTTCTGAGACACAAACTATGAAAGCTGATACTTAAGCAGGGTGTCGAGTCCCATGCCAGGGCACTACGGATGTAAAAATAGTTTTATCTACATAGTAAGAAGAGTCACAGGAAAACAAGCATACACAGTTGGGTTGCTTCACACTTGATGTGTAGGAATTGCATCTCTTGTTAAGTGTTTCCTAAGATGGATGATAACGTGCTGGAGACATGGAAAGCATTTCACTGTGCAAAAAAATGGTGTTGGAGCCTGCTGCAGGCTTGAGTACCAGGAAGAGCTGACCCAGCGGTGATGGCTCCTGAAGGCTGTCTTCCAATTCCTGTGCCTTCTTCAAGCCTGTCTGCCTAGAGTACAGGAATCAGTTCTACACACTTCTGAATTGATGTGGAGCTGTAACTTTCAGTGGAACTGTTGTGTGAGAGATTGGCGTAAGATTCAGTAGTCAAGTAGAATGGACGTAGTTCCCATGCTGCTGCTGGTGGAGGCCAGGATGAATGTCTCATCAGTGCCTTGCTTAGAGGGACTCAAAAGACCAAGCAGGAGATGGTGCCAGCTGTTGGTAATCGAAGTGATTTCTGAGCTTTGGGATGTGACAAGGGACACTTACGGTGGAGAATATGAATGTGTAGCTCATGTGTCAGTCCACAGCTGTTGCATCAGAAGAGTGGCATAGTCAGGTGTATGGTTTAAAAAAGAAGTTCCTGGTGGTAAGAGTCTAGCTTCAGCCAGCCCCACCCTGCTTTCTGTGTTCTCTGGCATCAAAGTCAGCTTGTTTGAACACAGAACTAATCCTGTCAGCCCCTGCTCAGCCCTCAAAGTGACTCCCAGGTACCACAGTCCCCCGCTGTCACTGTGAGGAGATGGTGCACCGTCTTGCACATGTTGTCATCAGGTGCACCGTCGTGCACCTGTCTGGCTCCACGTCCTTAGTGCTGTCACAACCAGCACCTCCAGCAGCACCTCCATCGTTCCTTAGTTGCTTACCGTGCTGGATGTGTCTTAATGACTCTCACCATCAGGCAAGTTACATGTGTATCTATTTGTTTCTGTCTGTGCTCCAGCTGGAAGCCAGCCCCAGCAAACCAGAGCTGCTAGGCTGATTCAGGTGAGAGGGGCTCTTTGGCCCCAGCCATCTTCCCCCTCTGCCTCTTGGGCTCTGTGCTTCCCTCTTGTGGTGAGAGACCTCTGAGGAATTGTGCTCATCCTTCAGGACCCGTCGCAGATGCCACCTTTTCTGGAAACATCTTCTCCAGATGGCTGTTCCTGGACCTTGGCCTCTGTTAACACCATTGGAGTATTTAGTAAGAGGAGGTTTTCTTGGGCTGTCCAGGATAGGATGGTTGGAGGTTTGTTAACTAGGGATTAACTAGTGAGGGGTTATGCAATGAAATAGGCAAGCCGTATAAGTAAGGGTGAAATGTAGTTGGTCAGTTGGAGGAATGCAGGAATTATATGTGACTTGACTTTAATTCTAAATGCAATGTGATTAAAGGGAAATAGCTAGGGAAGCATTCACCAATTTTTGTTAAATATGAAATTATGCACATAGTCTGGAGGAAGTATCCACTGTCAGTTTATCAACCTTTCTGGTATAAATGACTATTTTTCTCTATTCTCTGTAATAGAGAAAAGTTGAGGGCTACAGAAATTACTTGCTAGTGGCAATGTGAAAAGTATGTTAGACTCCATATTTACTTCTCTTTATCTTTCTCCACAAAGAAGGCTGAAGTGACCTGTCTAAAAATCTTTTGATTGGGTCCAATCATAGCACTGAACTCATTCCTGCCTTATAAGAGAGCAGAATTTACGTTTCAGTTGTCAAAGTGTTTTTGTTGTAAGATTGCTGTATGATTCTAGCTAACGGGAAGGCTGGGTCCCTAAACACTCAGCCTGGCCGTCTGATGTCTTCTCTGTTCATCTTTTCGCATGGATGTCTGGTGTGTGCATTCACTGTGTGATTCATTTTTGCACTGAGATTCTGGCTAAGTCCTTTGCATTAAGGTGTTAAGTTTCTCATTTCTGAACTCGTGTCTCACTCCTACATATTAGTATAACTTTGTTTTAAAAAATCTTTCCTTAAGACATAGAGACAGAGCAACACATTCCATCCACAGATTCACTCGCTGTGCCAAAGGCTCGGGTTAGGAACTGAGTCTGTGTCTCCCACAAGAGTGGCAGGAACCCAAGGGCTGGAGCCATGGTCTGCTGTACACATCACCAGGAAGCTGGAAGCAGAGCTAGACTTGAACCCAGCACTCAGATTGGCTTGCAGGTCTCCCAGCCCGTGCTGTTCTACCCATAACCTTGCTTGCTTTTGTCTGATGAAAATCATGGCAAGTTGGTGATTGAGGGACAAACTATGAAACTTTCTGATTGAGGGACAAACCATGAAAGCTGAGAATGACGTAGACTTGCTGCCCCATCAAAGCAAAAGCTGACAATAATGACAGTGAAGCTCTGATGTTTGTTAATACATAGGCAGCAAAAGCTAACCCAAATAACGCCAGCTTGCTTTTTCTGAAAGATAGGCGAGGAGGCATGGTTTTTACGTAATTCATTATTTATTTTATATTGCTTCTCCCTACAATAACTAACCGTGTTTGAAAGGGAAAACATCCTAATAGGCTCGTTACCACGAACATGTGAGGCTGTAAGTGGGATTTAGCATTTTCCTATGATGACTTCCTAAGCTTTATAGTAAGGCAACATGGAGAATTTCACCCTTTGCTTTTCTTAAGATACGAAAAGAAAATTGGGGGAAGATTTTTGTAAACCTGAAATAGACTTTAGAAGTTTGTTGACTTAGAGAAATATGAGAGAAAATCTCCTCACGTAGCAGCAACTTATCCTTGATATATTTAAAAAGGATTTTTATGCTATTACTTTTTTCAGAGTAAAACTGATTCCGGCTGAAGGAATCAAGTCAAATCCTTCCAAGAGACACAGAGACCGGCTGAACACGGAGCTGGACCGCTTGGCTAGCCTGCTGCCTTTCCCACAGGATGTTATCAACAAGCTGGACAAACTGTCTGTGCTGAGGCTCAGCGTCAGCTACCTGAGGGCCAAGAGCTTCTTTGATGGTAAGTTAAAGAGTTCACATTTTTCTACAATAATTCGGAAAATACTTGTATTAAATCTGGCTGCTTCCGCGTTTAGTAAAATAGGCCCCATGTGACAACTTTTGCTTACTGCTAAGTAATAAAGCTGAAGTAATCACGCCAACTGTGTGGTGATTCCGGGATCACCCCTCCGGTTTCCCATCGAGCAGGTGCAGCCCCTTACGTGGCATATGATCTAATTTTTGAAAATCATATATGCGGAAGTTATACTCAGATGAAGTATGTGCGATTTTATAATCCCTCCCTTTTCCCTTCCAATCTGGTTTTTAAAAGTCTTTTTAACAGGTAAGGATAAAATTTCTTAGTGCTGTGATGTGTTATTACCAATTTTTTTTTTTTTTACAGATGAATACTGCTTGTAGTAGTTCTTTAAATTTTATATTTGGCTGTGCTCCTTTGTCTTAACTGTTTGTTGCAGGAAAATGAGCTGACTAGGTAGGTGATATTTGTTACCCCTTGTAATACAGAATGTTACCATCATAAAGTACTTTAGGTGGAAATTTTGCTTAAAATGAATGTTTCAATGGGTTTGCAGCATGTAAAGTAGTTCCTTGAGTTCTGTTGGATTAGGTTGTTTAATTCTTTCAGAATGTTCTGTTGTTTCGTAGGCCTTAATGCGAGGGCTCATCTGAGCAGCCTGTGATAATACTTGTCAGGCTTCAACATGCATTCAAGTCACAGATACGGATCATGTTAAGATGCAGATTGGTGGGCCCAGTGCGGTAGCCTAGCAGCTAAAGTCGCCTTGCACACACCAGGATCCCATATGGGCACTGGTTCTAATCCCAGCAGCCCCACTTCCCATCCAGCTCCCTGCCTGTGGCCTGGGAAAGCAGTCGAGGATGGCCCAAAACCTTGGGACCCTGCACCCGCTTGGGAAACCTGGAAGAAGCTCTGGGCTCCTGGCTTTGGATCACCTCAGCTCCAGCCATTATAGCCACTTACTTGGGTAGTGAATCAATGGGCAGCTGATATTCCTGTCTTTCCTCCTCTCTGTAAATCTGATTTTCCATTAGAAATTTGAAAAAAAATAAATCTTAAAAAAAAAAAAAGATGCAGATTCATACTCAGGAGGTTCAGGTGTGACTTAGGGTTTGCACATTTTTAACCAGCTCTCAGTTGGTGTTGATACTGCTGGTTCAGTTCACCAGGAAGTTTTGCACTTACACAGTGTACCTACAGATAATTGAGCTGTAATTTATGTTTAGAATATTACAAAACCATTAGTTCTCCTTTGCGTTCATGGTGACCTGTATCGGTGTCTCTATTCTAAACGTCCATTTATGTTCCTGCTGACATAGACTTGCAGTGCACAACAGTTGGGTAGCTTAGTATGTACAGACTAGGGAATAGGCACCACCTTCAGGGCAGTACCTGCAGAGAAATTTCTGTATTTACAGGTTTTGTAGCAGGCCCCTTGGTTTCAGTTCTCTCTCCCCTGGGTGTGGGTGTGGGTGTGTGTGTGTGTTTCCCATTTGATCCTGCAGGTGTGTCACACATTATTCCCTTGGAGTGCCTGTAACTCGATGTGGTCATTTTTGTTAGATTTGAAACCAGAACCCAAATTTCCAGGTTGCTGACACAGGTGTTCATCTTTTCTTGACCATTTCTCAGGTACTTCTCTCTTTTCATGCAATCAGAAAGGAGGATTAAGCTCTGAGGATTTCTCTGAGAACTGAGGTCCTCAGAGGCGTAGCTCCCAGGCAAGCAGGATCAGCATTACCCAGGAAGCTGTGAGCAATGCGGATCCCTGAGCCTCCCGCCTCCCCGTGGAACCACAACATCTGGTGCTGGGACCAGATGCCTGTGCAAGTTTGGAAGCCGTCACTGTAGACTGTTGCTTCTGGCTCCATGGAGAGCTCCCCTGATTCTCCGTGTCTATTCACATGCTTTGTCCCCCACGTTGTCCCTGACCAATGACATGAGGTCTCCGCCCTGAAAGAGTTTATGCCCTGAAGCCAGGGAGGCATTACGCCTTGACTTTGTAAAAATTTATTGGCTTGAGTCATTTTGCGTTTCCATTTCCTGCTCCTCTCGGCGCTGTTAAAAAAGGAGGAAACCATGTACAGGTTGTCCCTTGTTTAGATTTGAGGCTACTTGCAGGTAGCCAGAGTAACATGGTTAGTACCCTCTGAAGCAGAAACACTTGTGTGTGCATTTAATATATGTATTATATCGTGTGTACACACACATGCATGCATGATTAGACATGTGACCTCACCTAACCTCTCAAGTAAAAGATTCTAAAGGCTCTTTGGTAAAGAAAGTGGTAGTTCAAGGGGCTCATCAAGGAGTTAATAATACTTGTTACAAAGCTGCCTTTCCTCCATTAATGAGCTTTTTCCTCTTTTATTCTGGCTCAGTGTATTTCAGTGTAGGATCTCATTCCTTCATCAATCATATTGTCTTTAATTCTAGATCCTTTATATTACTGGTTTTCAAACATCATTGCATGCAAGAATTACCTTGAAATCTAACTAAAATATGTATTTGAAGGTATGTGGGGATTTAGTGGATTCTGGGTAAACCCAAGGAATCGATATTTTAACAAGCACATCACACAGTGTGACACAGAGACTGTTCATGGCCTTGAGTATGCCCTGGGCAATATGTCTGGTTGGTTTGTTTTGTATTTAGTGCTTTGTTTAAACCCAAAAGAAGAAAAAAAAAATCCAAGTATATGCAATGTTGGGAAGAACATAAATGTGCTTGTGTGTGTTAGTGGTGTGGATGCTTCTTCAGAATACAACATAGAGTAAGGTAGAAGGGAGGGAAAGAATTAGTAACAAACCAGACAGATCCCCACCCTGCCCTGCATCACCAGTGACGTGGGAAGGCAGTGCAGATACCAGAAAAAGAGATCTGGAGGGTCACTTGTACACCTGAACTGAGTGACGGTTCAGTGAGGCCACGATGTGCACTGGCTGCAGTTAGACCTGCTCTGCCACCACTAGGGAAACAGTATAGTGAAGGGAAGGGAAGCTCCGAGTGAATAACAGGATGCAAACAGGGGGTGTGTGAATTCCTGCGGAAAGAACAATATAAACGAGTAATCATACAATCTTGCTAGAAAGGAAACTCAAGTTTTACTATAACAATAGATATTTTTCCAAGAAAATACATCTATTTATTGCAAGTTTAAATAATCCAGCTTGGATGGACCATCTTATACATCAGAGCCATGACTGTACTGCGCTTGCTCATTGCAAAGCAGCACCGAGCTTAAGTGCAACATTCCTATGCATCTATTCCTAGTTCATTTAAGTGTCCTGAAATACAGCTTTTCAGTATTTCAACAATCAAGTTTGAAGCAGTTTCTTTGGTGTTATTTGAGTATTGGACTCAAATGCCACATCATCTCAGCCTTGGAAAGTATATACACACACAATTGAAGCAAGAGCTATGATCAGTAGCAGTCTGATAACACACCAGGATTTGGGCAACTACAACCTGAGCTTTGAAATGTGTTGATATTAAGGAAGGGGATTGTTTTCTACCGTGTCTTGTACGGTTGTCCTAAAGTTGACACTGGGTCAGTGTGGTAATGTTAATGACACCAGTAGTAATGCCATATATTGAATTGCTTCAATTAGATTTCCTTATTGCCTTTTGAAACATTCGACCTCGTGTAAGTTTTCAAATTTATTCTGATCTTTGAGAGTGAATCCCAACCTTTACATTTTAGAGAAAAGAACTAAAAATTTGGGCATGAGTAATCCAGGCTTTTCTGTTTAGATGTGTGATGCTAATAAAATGAAGAGGTGGACAGGTTTTTGTTTTGTTTTGTTTTGTCTTTAGGTGATAGTGAAAGGGGATTATGTAGCATTTATTCCTTAAGTAAAATATTCATGGTAAACATTGCACTGTTTACAATACAATCAACAACTATGGAATATTTTATCTCCTCTCTTATATTTGAGTCATTTGTTATTCATTGTGTCAACTTTACAAATTTAATTTGTGGAAAATAAGTATCAGAAACAAGAAAAGGATGAATTTTTCTTTGAGTTGCCACTAAGCCTGTCAGAACTGAGTTAGGAACCCGAGTTTCTAATTCCAAAGTCCACGCTGGCAACGGTCCAAGGGAGTAGGTTTCTGGTTATTTTCAAAACCGGATAATGGGGAAAATCTGAGTCTTGTTTTACTGTTTTATAAAATATGGGGTTATTTACATGTTAGGATATTTTAAATTTACTAGGTCTAAAAGTGCTGTGTGAAGAGAATGTTAGTTATCACAGTAGCTGTTGTGAGCTAACCTGCGTTAGATGTGAAGTTAGCTGTGATGTCGCATAATTGACAAACAACACTTACTTGATGTGAAGTTGGTTGCCATGATCAAACATTTATCTGACTCAGCGTTTGTCATGGATCCTAGCTGACTTTTCTAGAGCTCTTCTCATGGTCTTTGACAGGTGCTTGTGTAATTCACTCCTAGCCCTCTAGGTTTGCAGAAGAGAGCTGTTGTGTCCGTGCACCTGCAGCTCTGTATGCTTCCCCATGGCAGTCTGGCTTGGGTATGTCTTTCAAGCACAATGTTAGTGTTATTTAGAATTTGTTTTCTTTTTATTTGAGAGACAGAAAAAAGAGACAGAAAGTAGACAGATTTTCCATCTGTTGGTTCACTTTCCAGCTGCCTCCCACAGGACTGGGCCAGGAGACACTACCTGGGTCATGAGCCAGAACTTGCTGTCTTTCAGGAAGTGCGTCAGCAGGAAGCTGACATCAAAAGTAGAGTCAAGACCCAAACCAGACCCTCCCACCTGGGATTTGAGCATCTCAAGCCGTGTTGTAATCACTACACCAAAGCCCACCTCAAAAATATGATTCTCAGAAAGTAACGCTGTATGTGTATATATGCCAGGAGGAGACTTGAACAAGTAGTTAAGAATGAATTAAATAATGAAGCACTTCTAAGGGTTGAAATTTCATGAAGATTGATGTGTTTGCATGTCTGCTTTTTC